CAGTTTTAAAGATACTGAGCAGCAGTGATGGAGGTTTTCTTACTGTGTGGTTTTGTTTGTTGCAGAAAACTAGTATCTGCTACTTGTCCTTCCCAGACTCCTACTCAGGTAGGTAGCATCTGTTGGCCTTGCCTGCAGCCTGCGGGGTGGTTTGTTGCTGTTATGAAAGAAATGGGTTCATGATGGAAAGAGGGAAGAGTGAGTCATCACCTCTGATGCAGCAGAGACTGATGGGCTGTATCTTCTAGAACTGTGACATCAAGGAGCACCCAGGCCTTAGGTCTGAACAAAGAAGCTTCCTGTCATTTTGATTGCTCTCTGGATATAGAATCTGTGATCTAGTGGGTGACAGGACAATTTCTTGATAAGCCTGTGCACTCATGCTTCACCCGTGCCAATAAAATACAAAAAATAGTCATGCAGGGTAAGTTCCCTGAGGTTTGCAGCTGTCGACTGTCGGCATTTCTGTGTTTGTCAGCGAAGTGCTCAGTGAAGAGAAATAGATGGGGAGAGGATGCTTTCACAGCGGAAGTATTCCCAAAGCTTGTATTTATAAATCAGAAAGACGGCAGTAAGAAATAAGCGTGTTAATTCATCCCAGTACCTGTTTCTTTAAGACTGGTTCCTGACTGTAAGTTTTCTACAGCTTTGCCCAGTTTAATTTTAAATGTTCTTAAGGATGTACTTTCACTAGTTTCTCAGAGCTTAGTGAACACTCAGGCTAAATGTCCCTTTTATTAAAGTAAATTGTTTACTAATAGTAATATCTTCATAACACACACAACAGACTTTACTGTTCTTCAGAGCAGAGCATCTGTGAACAGTGGGAAGGGAGTATGTCCTCTCACCCCATTGTAGTGCCTTAGCCTGTTTAGCCTTGGTTTTGTTTAAGTCTTTCCTTGTGACTGACCTCTCTGTACGTACACAGCCCTACTCCTTCTGCCCATCCTACCCAACCGATGAAAACTCCGGAGGACTTCACGCTTGTTTTTCACCTGCTGCACAAAGTATGCCCGGTGCGGGGGTGAGCAGTATGGTGTGACCTGGGTCGTTTGCTAGAACTACTGTGCAGGGGATTGTCCTTAAAATCAGTGTTTGCGTGGTCTTGGATTAAGGCTGTTTGTAGGTTTTTCAGCGCAGTGGAGGGGAAGGGGTGGCTGCAGCTACTTAGGACTGGTGGTATGGGCCAAGGTCTGTAAATTCCCCAGCAATGGCCTGGCAAGGTTTAGCTTAGTGATACCAGTTCTTGTGTTCAGCTATGGGTTCTTCCCGTCTTCTGCTGGGTTTTGGGGGTTTCTTTATGCTGTCCTCTCCACTTCATTTTCAGTTTTGGAGTTCCTTGTAAATCAGCATCCCTGTTTGTGTCAGCGTTTCAGATTTAACCAATTTCCAGCTTTCTCCCTTACTAAAACTTCTTCCTAAGCATTTGTGATCTTCTCTGTCTCAGGTGGCCTGGGGGATACTCAGTTTAGCTTCCGCCTTCGTCAGTCTGGGGGACAGAGGACCACTCATTATGAGGATGATGGCGAGTACAACAGAGAAGCACCCCTAACGCTGCAGGTCAGTTGCATTTCAGTGCACTACTTATACCTGCTAAGCAAAATTGGGTTAAAAGCCAAATATACTTTTCTATGCATAAAATACTCATTTTCTCTGGCCATGGGAATAGGAGAAAAGGAGAAAGCTTTCTGCACAGGGACTTACTTCCACGTTAATACTCACAGAGGGCCACGTTGAGAATCCCAGCTACTCTGAGAGGTGGAACTGAATCAGCGGGACCCCAGATTAGAGCAGCGGTCATGTCTAGCTACAGCAAAAAGATAAACGCTGGCACGCAGGTGGCATCCAACAGAGTGCACGGCTACCTGTGCATGTTTCCGTGAGGCAAGACAAGAATGTCTTTGTGGTAAATTAGATGTTCACCTCTCTTGTTGAGGGATGACAGTTCTTTTCATTTGTTGCAGGATCTATGTACATAAAAACAGGCGGAATAATTGATATGCTGCAGATCCACGCTTTGGCTTGCTATATGCGGGCTGGTTTAACCACACCTGAGCACTGATATTGGGAGTGTCTGTTAGTTGTGGTTTCTCCGTCAGTGAACTGTCCATTTCATGCAGATAAGGGATGTGCTGAGCACTGTTGCTTCTTTTAATTGAGCAGACGGCCATCAGATCAGCTTGTCCTCTTCTGCTTTCTCCTTTGCGATGATGCTTCCTGTACATGTGCCTTTTTAACACTTCTGCAGTCTTTTTGTGATACGCTTTTGTGATATACAATCCAGAAGTGGGTTGCTGACCTGAGAGGGAGTAGGAGGATTTTTCCTAAATCCTGGTCTAGAGATTTTTCAGCTTGCATACATCTTTACTGCTTTGCAGCAATTGGACACTGCCTCACAGATTCACCTAGCTGTGAAGAGGTAAGGGAAATAAAACTGCCAAAGTACTACTGGATTCTGTTGTGAAAAAGTAGTATTTGGGAAGAGAAAGGTGCCTTAAACCTTGGGGCCTGTGGGGCTTCAAAAAATGATATTAAGGATGGGCTTTGTGTTCGGCACTGATAACTAACCTTCCTCCTGATGTCTGCGGGAACTTGGAAGACATAACGTGATTGAAACGATCGCTGGGGATTTGTATTAAATCTGTCAGTTTTCATGGATGCTATGAAGGAAACATCATTCAGCTTTGTGCTTCATCGTGAGCAAAGTTTGACTGGTACTGCCTTAAATGCCTGACTAGAGAGGAACGCAACGGATATGGTAGATGACATTTCCTCCTCTCTGAAGATGATGTATTCCTTCCTCAACAATACAATATCCTCTAGCTGGCAAAGCCAGCTGACAGTCAGAGCACATCAGCGCTGCCGGGATGAGCTCAGTGGGTTGGCTCAGCTGGGTGCGTTGGTGGAAACCTCAATAACCTTTTAGATGATGGCCCTGAAGGTGCTGCAGATCGGGGCTAGTGAAAGGTGCTACCTGGAGGCTGTAATTCTTTGTGGATTTAGTTGTTTGTATCTCCTCTCTCTCTTCCCATTTGGTAAACTCTCCCAGATAGCTGAGCATGGATAACGTTGGTAAATAGGAGGGAGTGCTGTAACTGTATCCCAACAGGAGTGAGGTGCGTTGTTTGGTCAGTGGCTGGAGGGCGTTTGGCGATAGCGGTAATCAGTTTCTCGATAACAGCATTGTTGGTCTCTCTTGCAGCGGGAATCAGCTCATTACTTTGGTTACGTATACTTCAGGCAAGTCAAGGACAGCTCGATGAAGAGAGGTTATTTTCAGAAGGTGAGTACTGAAACCAGATAGCTTGCTACTCTCAACTGGTACGTAGCTGTAAAAAGGTACCTATCCATAGCTGTAAAAATGCACCACTTCCTACGTGACACCCACAGAGTTTCTGCAGGAAACAGCAAAGGTCACGGAGAACAGGGGTATGTGGAAAGTGTAATTCCAAACAAACCTGGATGCGGTTGCCATGGTGCCTTAATCACATGAGCAGTGACCTGCTGTCTGAATCATGGGATCCTGAAGTACTCCAACATGTGCTTCAGCATGTACTCTAGTGTCACAGGCAGCGAGAGGATATACTTCGTTATTGCAGTCTGTGCTAGTTATCCCTTAACCTTACTCTCATTATTGCTTTAATCTTTCTTCTTCCTAGCAGCCATCTGGGAATGGATTTCCTGCTGGGCTGATTGCTCCTAACTAGCAGCAGTGGCACTGCTGGTACCTCACCACCCTTGTCTCTTATCGTAAATTCTCCTGACACAGACACTGGAAAAAATAATATAAACTGCGTGTTTATTTCAGCATAAATATGCAAAGTGCTTTGTATTATTTGGACAGATAGTTATGGTCACTGCCTGAAAAAAAGGGGAATTTCAGACTTCTTCTAGAGAAGGAGAATATTTTACTTTGATCCTAAGGTCCATTTTTCTCCATGGCTCCCTGGAATTACTCTTTCAGTGGTGTTCTTTCACATCAAAAGATAAAATGCCATCCTCTCAAACAAAAGGCCTTTGAACACTTCCTCTTCCAAGAGCAATACTTCATCGTAGATCAGTCTGGTAGCTTGCTGGAAGATGGGCTCACTGTTCTGTCCCAGCAGTTAACTTGGCCTGCTGTGCTTTCTCTCCTCCAACTCTGGGCGGTGACATGGAGTTTCTTTCAAAGAGACATGCTAATACAGAAGTGAGTTTCTTTTTTCATCTCCATTAAAGCAGTGGATTGGTCACTCCAAAAGTTGGAGGATTAGAGAAACTGGACAGCATGGGGACCTGATGAACAGATGTTTATACCAGGCTAATGTCCTTGCCCTTTGGTAGACTTACAAAAGTAGTGGGCACATTGAATTCCTCAGTGAAGTATATTGTCACACTTGGATGGGTTTTTTTATTTCAAATGGCAAAGTTTTGGGTTGGAAAGGAGGTGTTTAAATGACTACTGCAGAAATTTTGACTGGATCCTAATTAATGTATTCATTAATGATTAGAGGAGGAGAATAATCAGCATAGTAATGAAAACCCCCAGTGGGACTGAATTGGAAAAGTTGTAAAAAATAGTGATGTAGTTCACAAAGAAGCACTAGAAAGTTCACAAAGAAGCCAGAACAACAACAGAAAAGGCATTACTGGAAACAAATCAGCATTATTTCAAGTTACTTTGTTTGTTCTTCCCCAGAATTCTTCTATTTTGTTTATCTACCTAATTTCCCTTTGAACAGTCTGCTCCTTTGCACTTCTCCATCTGAAGTGGTTGTTTTGGTTGCTTTGAAGCTACTAGCAATTTATTTATATTTTTTCTCCAGCTGATCCTTTGCTGGGTCACAATCTCATCCATCTTAGTTGCAGTGGCTCCCTGGTAGAAGCTGCCGGCTGTGCTTTTTCATTAAACAAAAACCTCCTTGCCTGTGTGGATACTCAGGGTCTCCCAAAGCCTGAAGCCTCAACGACTGGGTAGCTAGCAAGAATTCCACCAGTAAAAGTGCTGCTTTTGAGCTCTTTGATGTTTTTGATGTTGTTTTTTAAGCGTAGCCCTCTAGTAAGCAGTATAAGTACATGCAGTGCTAGAAGTGATCGTGTCAGGGGGTCTCTGACTCCTAAATGTGCCTTTTTTCAGTCTTTGGTGCTGGTGTCACGCCTTCCATATGTGAACTTGTTCCAGTCCTTGCTGCAGCTGATTGCTCCGGAATACTTTGACAAGCTGGAGCCGTGCCTGGAGGCAGGTGAGCAGTCAGATCTAGGAGAGGAGGGGTTGGGTATTGAAATCTTTCAGAGGTTTTATCAGGAGGCTCCTGAAAGACAGTTGAAATGTTCCAAATTAGTTCATTCTGGAACAAATTCCAACAGGGAACAACTTCCATCCAAGTGGCTGACGTGTCAAAATTATAAACAGCTGTAAAGGATGCATTAATGGGAAATGTCTGACAACCTTAATAGATGATGCTGTCAGTCTTGCGTACAATGTATTCCCAGAGAGAGGAAAAAACTGCTAATGCTACATCTCTGTCTAGGTCTTTATTGCACTATTCAACTTCATCATGATTTATCAACAGTATAGTGCTGCTGGGCCTGCACTGGAAACGGTGGTACAGACGTAAGTCTGGTGTCTGACCTGAACTTGCACAATTATTTGATATAGTGTTTGTTTGCAACTAGCCAGGGGGACACGTGAACTAGGAATGAGTGGTAATTCAATGGGCAGAGCTCATAGGACTGGCTGAATTAGCTATATTGACCTTCAGATTAAACTTTTTTCTTTACCTGTGTGCCTGCAGTGTGCAATGAGATTGATCAGTGGCCGCCTCCAGTGCCAGGACAGACTCTGAACCTTCCAGTGATGGGAGTTGTCATTCAGGTACTCGTTGCTGGTGATCTGTACTCGGCAGCAGACTGAGGCAAACTGGGAAGTGGAACGTGTATTCCCTTTTCTTCTGGATTTAAAAGTGCTCTTTATTCCTAACCTCTGTACAATGAGAATTGATAATTGAGGAAGCTTTCTCACATGCATGGTTCTCAGGAAAGAAAGCAAAATGTGTGTGCATGCTAACGGATTCCATCTCCCTGGATGATCTGTCTGTTCTTATTTGTAATCTAGGTGAGAATCCCATCAAGGGTGGATAAGCCAGGATCAAGCCCAGTGAAGCAGTTCAATCAAGAGGTGAGATGAAGTGTGGCATGACATAAGCCAGTGATGAGCAGAATCTAGAGTACTAAGGAAGGAGGGTGGAGAAGAACTGGAACTCTTTCAGCCTTACCCTGTTTGAAACCACTTTGGCCTGGGATTAATGTGGTTTAAGCTACCCACAGCATTCAAACTGCAGGCTCTCTTGCCTGTGTCTTTCAAAACAGGACTCTCTGCACAGAATTTGTGTGCTTCAAGTTACGTATGTGCATTGTTCTCACTGGTTTTGTTCACTTTGCCTTTCCTGCGAATTCATGCATAGGTGGGTCTCCACGAGATCCTAGCTTAGTCCTCTCTGTTGTTTTCCAGCATTACTGTCTGAGCATCTTCACTGCTTTTATTCAGCTTTAATTTTAATCCTTGTTCATTTGATTTTTTGCCTTTTCTCTCTTTTGAATAATGTTGTCATATTTCACAACTTTTGGTACCCAGACTACCAACCCTTACTGTCTCTATCTGTATTTTTATGTCTGCCTTGCACCAGAGGACAGCCTGGACAATAAAGGAGCAGACACAGGAAGTCTTTCACATCTTGAAAAGAAGGGATTCTTGGCTATCTTCTAGCAAAGGAAATTCATCTGGACCTTGAATGCTCAATCCAGATCTGTTCCTGGCTCATGCCTCTGAGCGTTAACCTTGTTCTCTTCTCTTTGTGCTTATTGTAGAGGGAGCTACTTTGTGATTGATGTGGTCAGCTTAGAGGACATTTCAGTCAGGATGCTCCCATTTACTAACAGTTTCGGATTTGTTTGATATTTTTTTTGTTGTTTTTTTTTTTTTCCCCTCTCCTCATTTAGAATCTGTTACCAGCCCCACTGGTTCTCCCCAGTATTCATGAACTGGATCTCTTCAGGTGAGAGCCACCATCCCTGCAACCCTCTCCTTTCCATCTTCTTTTCCTGCTCCTAGTATCCTGTACATCATAGGTATAGTGAAGATGTCAAATGAGAAATCAAAAATTATTGCTTTGCAGAGCGTCATTTAGAATACTGGGCTTGCAGAGCTTGTGCGGTGTTTAAACCTAGGTGCGCTGCCCTTAACCAAACCCCTCTGTCCTGGTTAGAGGAGGGTTTCTTTTCCTGGCCTCAGCTGGGGATCACCTTAAGCTCTGAAGCATACACATTGTGTGTCTGAACCAAACTTCTCAGCGTTATAGGTGCTATTCTAATAGACGTACATCTGCTGTAATCCACACGCATTTTACTTTGCTGAGGTGAAAAAGCATACTGAGAGCAATATGATCAGGAGGTTGCTTTACATTGCTTAAAGCATTTCCTTTAAACATGTATAAAATGATCGAGCAACAGTATGTGTAAAGACACATGGCATTCTGTGTGGGATACTAAAAATCATTCCTATGTTTCAAATTCCCAGATAGAAGCACACCTGGATAGGCTTATATGGAGTAATTGTGTCTGGTCTTTTCTGAACTGCATTTCTAACCTCATTCTTCCTTTCACTAACAGGTGTTTCCAGCCGGTGCTAATTCATATCCAGATGTTGTGGGAGCTGATGTTACTAGGAGAGCCAATTGTTGTAATGGCACCATCCCCTACAGTTTCTTCAGAAATGGTTCTGGCACTTACCAGGTAATGCCCTCAGATTCTGAGATATGGGTAACTATACTCATAAATGGTGGCAGTTTTTCTCTTTCAGATCCACTCTTCTGCTGAGTCAGTTGTGTTAGATTTAGTTTGCCACTGACGTGGCATGTAAGACAAATACCGTAGCGGGAGACTCTTGTTCATATTCCACCAATGGTAGAGAAGAGTAAAAATGAATCTTCTGTGTTGGGTTCGTAGCCCGGAGGAGCTTTTGTCTCCCCAGCTTTGAACTCTGCTTTAGCAGAAAAGAAAAGAAAAAAAAAGAGCCTGGAACTTCTCCAAAGTGTTGCCTCTGGCAGGACGAAACACTGCTCTAGGACATAAACCTGATGTAAAGACACATTCCTCCTCTGTGAAGTTTATGTGGCAACTATTCTGTCTATTGTTACAGCTGCCTTGCTCCTCTGAGGTACTGTTGTGACTACCGCCCCTATTTTACTATCCACGACAGTGAATTTAAAGAGTATACCACCAGGACACAAGCTCCGTAAGTAGCCAGTAGACCCTTGCTACCCACTTGCCACTGTCTGTGTGAAGGAAACCCCAAGGTGAGTATTGTCCTGCCTTTTTTTCCCTCTTTCTAGGCCAAATATTGTTGTGGGAGTCACAAACCCTTTCTTTATCAAAACCCTCCAGCACTGGCCACACATTCTTCGGGTTGGGGAGCTCAGAATGTCAGGTAAGGGTGGAACCGAAGTCCTGTTGTGCTGGTAGACCTTGTCAGAGGCTAATAGTGAGCTGACAGTTGCAGTGCCAGCCATCGTTTTACACACCTTCATTCCTGAGAGAGCTGGGAAACCAAAGGGAAGTCTAGGTGCTGACTCAGTTGATGTGCAGGATGAGCACAAAGAGTGGTGAAGACAAATCGTTGAGAGGATAACTTGCTGTGTTTTTTTCCTGAAGCATTAAGAAAATAAGTCCTTCCTGGGCAGGAAAGAGAAAATTTCATAGGGAAGAACAGAGAGGCGGAGAGAGAGGGAGACTCTGATTATTGTCTATGAAGCCAAGAAAACCTCTAGGTTGAGGAGTTGAGTTTTTTGCAATGCCTCCTTAACACGTTCCTGTTCCAAAATTTTAGCAGGAAAGTTAGCAGATGAGAAGGCTTATGTGAGAGTTGAGTTAAGGGAGGATATGATTTAAGATGTACAAGTGTAGGACTGAATGTTCTCAAGCGCAAAGTCTCTCATGTGCATGCTGTGGCTGTGAGGGTAGATTCGGAGCCTGAACTAGTCATTTGATGTCTTTCCACAGGAGACCTGCCCAAGCAAGTTAAGGTGAAGAAACTAGCTAAACTAAAAACTCTAGACACAAAACCAGGTAAGTCCTTTAGTCAGACATAATTTAATTTTGTTTACCCTTCCACAAGGGGGATTTTGCAGGCGTGCAAACATGGCATACATTATTCTTTGCATCTCAACAAATGGATGTTTTGGTGTTACCATCTTCTCGCACGTTATCGTCTTCTCACACTTGGTCTGCTACACAGTAGTGGCATCGCCCACCTAATACAGCAAAAGTGTACATCTTTGTTCTGAGATTGAAAAGGCCAATATAAATTAATTGAACAAATTATTTTAGTGTTGGGAGAACAGCTGCTCGTTTTCCTGGTTTTATTTTGTATATCATACCTGCTCATTAGATGGGTTGGAAGTCAAAGGAACTTCTTACCTACGTACAGCTATCTGTCACTTAACTTACTGCTCACCTCAGACCTAGCCATAAGCCAACTCCAGTAAGTTATCTCACCATAAGCTTAGCATAAGAAGGTTCTTGAGGTAGTTCAGTGTCCTTTCATCCTGCTGTGAGTACTGGCTGCATTAGCAATTTCGTAATTTTTAAATTATTTTTTAATACTCTTTTTTATTATCCACCCACACAGAGCTGCCAGGGTTTGTGCTAGGAACTTCAGTTTGTTGTCCTCACACTGTATAATAGCACCTCCTCTAGATAGGTAGGAAAAGATTTGTTTCTAACTTTTGTTTTTTTCCTGGTTTTGTTTTTTTTCAATCTAGGAATCTATACTTCTTATAAAACATTCCTTCACAAAGACAAAACCCTGATAAAAAGATTACTAAAGGTAAGCAGTTTCCGCTCTGCTACATCCTGTATGTCATTGTGGGAAAACCATGCTAACAGCTTGGTTTAAACAAACAAAACTCTCCAAAAGGAACAGACTTTTTACAGTGTGTGATGATTTAGCCAAGTATACTTGGACATGTTTATCATGCCAGTTTTAAATTTTATCACGTGGTATTATGGATTAAATGCTGGTGCTAATGATAACCTAATTGAGAACAATTCGTGTCCGAAAAAGAGTCTGAAAAAACAGATTCTATGTAGTGAAACATGAGTGATATGTTTAACTAGAGAGGGGAATGTTTATTTTGGGTGGTACAGTTTTCCAGACTACTCTGGACTGGTTGCTTATAGCTGCAGCGTTTGCAAATTCTGCGTCTCTCTGCATCATAGAGAATAAGAATAGGACCTTTGTGAATGCCCTGCTTGTGCTTGCAGGGGATTCAGCGGAAACGCCCGTCTGAAGTCCAAAGTGCCCTTTTGAGGCGTCACCTCCTGGAGCTCACCCAGAGTTTCATTATTCCCCTGGTGAGTTGAGCAGAGACTTGTCAGAGTGGTGCAGAGGGGAGGGGAGGTGAACAGGAGAGGTTTGAGTGACAAGTTTGCCCTTGCCCTCTTTTATTCACCTGCACCTGAGCATCTCTAATAGATTCAGGATGTGGCACTCTACAGAGATGTTTTACTCTATGGAAGGAACTAAATGTCTCTTGGATGCAAATTTCAGTAATTAGCATAAAAGTCTGCGGGTTGGATACTCAGCAGACTGTGTGTAAAGACAGAACATTGTTTCCCGCAGTGTAGGAATAGGTGTTCCCTGTTATTTGATTCTAACGCCAACTCTTTGCTCTTTTCAGCAGGTCATCAAAGCAGATATATAGGGAAGGGACGGGAGCCCAAAACATTCCTCTTCCCCTCTGACGCTGGCATCGAACCCATTGCCAGTGTGAAACCCTCCCTTCTGGCTCTGGAAAGCTTTGCTGTAGAGCTGAAGAGGCCTGACCATGTGGTGATCACCACCCTAAGGCATCTTAGTGAATGTTTGCTTTCAAGGCCTTCCCTGTCTAGTCCCACTAGAAAGCTGCTGGTACTTTTTGGGTGACCGTCCAGTTGGCCAAGTTTGGCTCCTCCACTTTCTTTTCTACATCATCTTAGGAGACAGTACATGGGAGGACAGAGCATCTTCTCAGACTCTAGTCCCTCCTGCCAACTTCTTCCCACTGGACCTTTTCTCACATGGCATGCTTGGAGTTCTTGCAGCATGGTTTTGTGACCTAGCCCCTGGTGGGAAACAAGCTGGAAAACTTGGGCTCTTGTAAAATGCAACTATGAAAAAAACAGGGTGTGAGGCTGTTGATTGTGCCTAAGATGCATTGGAGAAGACCGTCAAACTCAGTGACCACGCAAGAGGCTCCTTGATTGTTGTAACTTTTATTTTATTCTTTTGGTTTTTGTTTCTTCTTAGGAGCATTATATTGCAAGTCTGATGCCTCTGCAGAGGGCCATTACTCCATGGAAGGTATGTTCAATTTTCCAATCGCTTCTGCTTTCCTTTGACTGCAAGGATTGGGAATAGTTATGCTGTATGCTGATCACATACCCTGATACATACTGAAGTGTGAACTTCCCTCATTGAAGGAGGAGGGTTATTACTCCTTTCAGAAAAAAAAAAAAGTTTGAAGCAAACATTGGGACAGATGCTTCCTGTTTTGCAGTAACCTCAGCTATTGTGAATCTAATTTGAATTTTGCTAGCAAGGCTGGTTAAGATATTCACGCATTTTTGTTCTCATAGTTACTGAGTCTGCCTTGTGCAGCCTCTTCCGTTGTAAATCTAGACCTCATTTTCCCCCGGTTTCTTTTGGGTGCCATGTAATACGGTTTTTCTGTTGTGCAGAATCCTCCACAGATTCGTCCTTTCCGTCAGGAAGATTTCATGAAGACCCTTGAGCATGCTGGTCCCCAACTTACCTGTGTACTTAAGGGTGACTGGTTAGGCCTCTACAGGTAAGATTTTGGTAATTACTTGCCTGATCCCCTTAAGAGCTGGTGCAAGTTATAATGAATATCAAATCCCGAATTAGAATTGGGAGCAAAAAGGGAGTTTCAGGACAGAGACTGGTCACTCATGGCTATGAAGAATTGATGAACTGATAATGGTCAGGAAGAGCAAATGCAGGACAGAATCAATCCTGTGGTTTCTGTAGTCTCTTAAATGAGTAGATACTCATTTAAGGGCGGGTTTAGAAGCTGTCAACTCTCTGCCTTCAGGAACTTAAACCAAGTCCTCACTGTTGGAGAAGAAGGGGACTCATCTCTGATGTTAGCTATATCATTTTTTGTTCTCCAGGGAATCTTTCTTCTTGAAGTGTCTGGTCCTGGGCAGATGGGGTATAAAGACTTGTAGGTCTTCATCCAGTAGTGGTTGTATGTGTTTGTACAGCATTCAGGACAATGGCCATTTCATTTTTACTGCATGATGGGAATGCTGTTAGAACACAGAAGGATGTAATTTCCTCAAGGTGGAGTTTAAGAGAGCATGCAGGAGAGTTTGTCCATCCTTTTCATAAAGGATAATTAGTTATAAATGGGATGGAGATGACACTTATCATAATATGAGTAGGAAAAATCCAGAAATTGGAGAGCCAGTGGGAAGGAAAATGGGAGATATACAAATACAGAGAAGCAAAAACATTCCAGAAAGTGAGCAGAAACAATTATCATGCATTAGTGCGTTTTGTTGCTGTGATAAAGTTTGTACCATTTTCTGCTTTAATGTATTCAGCAGAAAACAAGCAGTTCCACTCCTTATGGTGTGGTAGACAGATTTCATTTTGGTTATCTAATATTTTGAGAAATAGTAAGAAACAACAAGCTGTTTCAATAAACTGGTTGAGGTTTGCAGGCAACTGATGTACATGGAGAAGTTTACACATTTAACTGTGCGAGATTTTGTACATATACTATTTCTTGTCTTCCTGAGTCAAACCGTTAATTAAAAAATAAGTCAGTCTGTATCACAGTGGCATCTTGAGATCTTGGCTGGGTTTAGGACTGCACTGTGCTGAGGAGAGTGCACGAGCAAGAGTCCTTGAAGTTGCAAAACGAAACTGTACAAACATCGACAGAGTTCTGCTGGTGAAGTGCTCTCTGCAGGTAGCCTGAGGAAGTGGCTTGAAGAGATCCTAAGTGGGCCACTCTTAATAGAGAATGCTGAAATACAGCATCTGAGAGATCCCCACTGTTAATGAACGAGTTGCAAAGATTGTGCTGCTGAAGTAGCCGTTACTCAGCTCTGTATGGCACCTTAGGCTTTCTCATCCTTTTCCGTCTCTGCTGCCACAACCCTTGTCTTTCAGTCAGTGGCTTTTCAATCCCATTTTGAATTTGGTCTAGAATTCTGTAACACTCTGAGATAAAAACAGGTATTGTGCTGCCCCCTGTTCATTTCCCAGCGTAGCTCAGTAAAAACAGAGGTTCATTACTGTATTGCAGTGGGGAGCTGTAAATTACACATCTTTTGACGTATCCTAGATGATACCTTTATGTTTTATGTAGGAGAGATGTAAATCACCGATTATATGGGACTTGGGTCTGTGATAGCAAATGATTGAAAGCTTTCAATATCAGGAAAGGAGAGGAATGAAGCAAGAGGAATGTGAATTTCTTCCCATGTTGCACCATCCCAGTTACCATAACTCCAAAGGAGAAGTGGGCCAAGATAAGGCTACAGAAGGGCAAAGAGCCCCACTGCTTGCATTGGCTGGGGCGCGAGCTGATGCCAAGGCAGGTGTGAGACTGGCAGGATGGTCCCTCGCGTTGGTGACAGCCTGCGAAAGCTGCTCAGCTGTGTCGTGTTAATGCCTGACAGAAGAGAAGCCTCTGGAGTAGACAAGATAGGAAAAGTGCATATTAGCTCATAATCGGTTACCATCCCTAGTGACGCTGTGAATCGGAATGGCTTTTCCTCTCACAGCTGTCCCTGCTGCAGTAGGAAGGGGAATCTGTGTGCAGTGGAGCCAGCGTGCTTCTCGGGATCCCCTTCTGTCCCCTTCTCAATGTCACCTCTCTTTCCGCAGGCGTTTCTTCAAGTCTCCCAACTTTGATGGCTGGTACCGTCAGAGGCACAAGGAAATGACCCAGAAGCTGGAGGCCCTTCATTTGGAGGCAATCTGTGAAGCGGTATGTTCCAGCTGCAGGTATTAAACCCAACGCCAGCTGATTCCTTCTCAGGCCTGAAACCTGGGAGACGAGGGCAGTGCTACCTTGGATGCTTATTGACGCACCTCGATTCTGCACTGATGGGTGGGGGACAGTGCTTGGTGCCCTCGGGAATCACAGTTCTGCCTCGTGGCCCTCCGTGCACAGGAATAACGGCGCATGTGGGGGGCGAGAACATGAGCAGCTCAGCTCCCCTGCTTTGTTAGCCAGTGCAGGTCCTGCTCTGGCTGCTTCTGTCAACTGTTTTTCATTCATCAGGCCCTTCCCCAGCCAACAGAGTGCCAGGCTGGAAGCGTCAGCTGGTGCTGGCTTCCTTAAAGCCTAATGAAAACAGGCAGGATTTTTAGTAGTGACCGCTGGTACAATTTCTTAAACTGAGCGGCTGCTGGGGTGGTCCCAGAAGCTCTGGCATCCTACCCAGGTGCATCTTCAGCTGCAGCGCTTGCTTCGCTGTTCAGCAGTGCAGAGCCTTGGGCATGGTGTGGGGAATGCCAAAGCTGTCTCCTTTTTTAACAGGCCTGACTCTGGCAAGTAGATTTAAATTCTGAGCACAGCACAGGATTCACGGTGCTGACTGGAGGAGAGGAGCCCTGCACTGCCTGCGTATTACTGCATCTTTCCTTGATTCTTCTGTTGCAGGCAAGAGCTTGATGCTGTCCTGGTCAGAAAAGTGGGGAGAGCTCAGTCTTGCTCATTTAGGCTTAAGTGCTGTGAGCAGAGTTGTGAAAGAGGATGAGAAACCTCCGCCTCACTTTTATTTCAGGCTTTGCTTAGGGGTATCCCTTTGAGAAAAGCTTCTGTAAAGAAGAAATGTCCCTGAAGAAAGCTATTCTCTCTCTTTAGAACATTGTGGCCTGGATGAAGGATAAGTCTGAGGTGGAGATTGTAGACCTGGTGCTAAAACTTCGTGAGAAGCTGGTAAGTTTTCCTCCCTTCTTCCTGTGCTCACTCCTTTCTGTCTGTATCCCTGCGGCAGGGAGAGACCAGGGACGCAGGTCATACTCGTTGCTTAGAAAACTTTGTTCTCACTCCCTGATTTGGAGAACTGGCAAATGGGGCAGTCGTGAAACTTTAGTGTTTGTGTAGAAAAGGATTCAAAGTGCTGGCTCTTTTCATCTCCCTGAGGCTCAGGTGACAGTTTCCTGTCTGTTGTCTCGTACCCCCAGCTGAAGAGACAATGTGAAGTTTGCTCTGCCAAAGGCAAAGCGGAAAGAACAACTTTGAAGCTGTTTTGAAATTCCTCTTTCTCTTCCCTCTCCCTGTAGGTAAGAGCCAGGTGCCAGCACCTCCCTGTGAAGGAGGAAACCCTGCAGCGCGTGGGGCTGTATATCGAGACCATCATCGGCTCCTTGCCGGAGGATCTCCAGACTGTGCTGCACCACCACTGAGCACGGTGAAGGGACTCTCTTGGAGAAGGAAGGGCCCTCCCGCCCCGCTCCCAGCTGTGGGCAGCTGCGGTTGCCTTTGGAAAGGAAAGTTCTTCCCTGCTCCAGCCAACATGCCCTGATCTGGACCTTGCTCACAACCGCCTGTGATTTTGGGCACGTGAGCGTGTGGGTCAGAACTGCAGCAGAAACGGGGAGCTGTGTGCACTATTCTGTCTAGTCCTGCCTTGGGGAGCTGGATTAGGAGACTGTAAATGAGAAACTGCTCCCTGTGTGGCTGTTGTTAGGTCAGAAAGCGACAGCCAGGCTTCCAGCAGCATGTGGTAGGCTGTGCAAAACACGTGTTGCCCATATATACACACCCATCTTTGTCTAATGCTTGGGCTCAGCAAATTTCAGTGCCCTCATCCTGCCTGGAAGAAGCAGGAGCAGCCCTGTAGGGAGGAGTTGTTTTCAGGACAGCTCCCGAGGACAATCAGAGAGATGCTAGTCCCCCACATATAAATGATGTGAAAAAATTGTCGCTGCCCGTTCAGCAGCCTGACTCATGCTGGCAAGAGCTTCAGCTGTGATGGGAGTGGGAGGATGAGCTGCTGGACGTGGAATGCTGTTGTTTTTTCTCCAAGGCAGAGACAGAGAAGAAGAAGAAGGGGCTGGTGCATCTGCAAGGAACAGAGCCCTCCAGAGATCATGGTGAGGTGCTGCGTGAGTGGCAATAGCTACTGGAGCTCCACAGAGAGGAGCTGGCCTCCAAATCTCATTTATCTGCTTGAAAAATCAAGTTTGTGTTCTCTAATAATGTACAAGAGAGCTGGAGCTCTGCCTCCGGCAATGAGATATCTGATGTGGTCAGCCCGCTTGCCGATAAAAGGTGTTGGAGGATCTGACTTTTGCAGCCTGTGTCAGCCTCGCCCGGTGGGAGCTCAGAGCGGCCGGTGCGTGGGTGCGTGGGCCCTGCTCTGAGGGGTCGTGCTCGCCCTGGGCCGAGGTCAGCGGGGAGCAACCTCTCCAGCTCTCACCACGGCCTGTTCTTGCCACAACCCAGCTTCCAGCTCGGTCCTTCTGCTCCCGTTGAACTCCTGGGAAGGAGAGAGAGGTGTGTGTGCTTCTGGGCTGAACGTAGATAAGACTTGAGGCCCTGCTGACACCTTCGGAGGCAGTTGCCCTCTGCCTGAGAGTGCAGCATTTCTGCCAGCTGCCTTGGAAATGGATTTACTGTAACCGCAGGGTTGATCGCTGCTGCCGCCGTAACTGCATTTCACCACCCACCAACCTGGCCAGGGCCCGAGTGTTTGCCTTAAGAATGGGTTTTAGGATGGGTCTGGCGCCTGAGGCACTCTTGTTCTGTAAGAAGCCCTGGAGCGTACCTTTGTGCGTGACAGGAGAGTTCAGCATTTCAGCTGAGACCTGTGCAAAGCTGTCGGCAGCGCCCCGTGCTCACGGGGGGGGGAAGCTGTGCTGTTCCCATCGCAGTCTCTGCCCGTTGCAGCGCTGCCTCGGGGCTGGGGAGATGTCGGTGAGCCTCGGAGTTGGCTGCACCCTTCCTGCATTTTCCCCTCCGGAGCCAGGCACGGA